TTCCTCTGTAATGTTTTGTATCATTAGGAACACGCAACATTGTAAACAATTATGACCAGGGTTTTCTGACCTTTTCCCTAGGTCAGAGAGAATAAATGAATACTAAATAATGTATAGTAATAAAGATTGAAAATATATATACTTTTAAGAGTTTTATTATGTCAGCCATAGTTTTATACCAAAAATGAAAATAAACTGAAATTATACATTAAAAATACATTCATAAATAACTATATTTATAACACTCATCGACTCTCTCCTGGCTAAAATATGACTTATCTATTAGGCTCTGTTCCGTCTATTTTTTGCCTTTAGCCTCCTTCTGACACTTCCATTCGTTCTTATTCAGTGTAGTATTCACATAGTTTTCAGAATATCAAGTGTTATACCTATCTGATGCTTTGTCCTGCAAAGTTCATCTTCAGTACACCTCCTTATGTGACATCTATCTCGATGTCAAGTTTGATTGAACACCCGTTTCTTGCCTATTACTCTTATACTTAACCAGAACTAGCTTAGACTTGAACGCATATGTCTAATTCGGCCAAAACACAGCCTTGGTACACAAATATCTATTTTACCGCTGGTTTCATTACAAAAAACTGGAGTAAAGGGTAAAATTATCTCTTGTCCAGTACACTCGTATAATACACTTGAGTATTGCCTATATTATTTTTGATTGAAGACGTATACATTTAAAAATGTCATTTACTTAAAAATAAACATTTAATTTTGATATTTTATTTAACTCGATCAAAACATTAAATTATTATTTTCCATGGCTTATACCGGACCTGTATGTACTCTAGTAGCCATGGAGTAGCTGACAGTGTTGCCGTCAGTTGCAGCCACATATTCATTAGTGACATACGTTTTATAAATTCATCGTGTTAGAAATTTGTTGACATAAAGAGATAGAAATTTAAAGTGACGTCTTTTATTACTTCGAATGAAAAAAATCGATAATGCAATTTTCTAACCTAAAAAAAATCGTGATGATATGTCAAACAAAATTGAACTTGGCCTTAAGGTAATTTCAATAAAATTTAGCCCTACTGCTTATGCAACATTCATTACTAAGATAAATTTTGATAAAAATCGATTCATCGTTGATCGAGGCACGATACACAGACTAACGGTATGTTCCTGCGCATTCAGCTGACTGACGGTGACGTCACGTGGGACATTATTAAATGGGAGATAGTGATTGAAATTCGATATTTCTCCGATTTTAGATTTTATGCAGTTACTTAAGCTTTATTGGTTATTTTGTAATATATTCGTTTACATATACCGTCTTCAACAATACCCGAAACTCACGTGACTGATAACCATCAAAAACCCATCGAAAGGACCTGATTTGACGCAAAAGGAACTAAACTAAACTGTCAGACCTGTCAGAAATGTCACTGGCATGCATTTAGGGACTGACGATATTTATATTGAATTTACATTTTATCAACACCTTTATTCCATTTTTCATTTAATATTAATAAAGCAATCAGTTATTTTTAGAGGTTATTGATGGCTTAATTTTTTTCTGTTGGTAAGTACAAATTTATTTAGTGTAACTTCTAAAAGTTAATCACCGTAAATAATTTATTTCAGCTAATAATTACACACGAACAAAATTATTTTATATTCTTAATTGTATTCGAAAATTTGAGGAACGTTTTCTAAGTAATTAAATGGAATATGATTATTTTTGGTCGTCAGAAAAAATACTTGTTAAAAATTATAAAAAAGGAAAAAGCTCTAAAACGCCTATGCACAGTAATAACAAAAGCTGTTGAAGATGTGCAAATTCCCAAATTCCCAAATTAGTAAAAAAGTGCACCTTAAACAGGTGTGAACGGTGTTTCGAAAACTGACTCTGACAAGTAAAATTCTAAAAATTTAATAGTAATATTCATTTATTAAGAAAATTTTTACATAAAATTATAGTTTGTACATCCAACTAGTTTTTACATGATATTGATTTTGGCAACATTTAATTAAACATCTGCATAATGCCACACATGTCATGTTTAGTTTTTGACACGAACAAGCTTTCGTTGCACATTTTTTTTTACAGTTGCACGGTTTTGCTAAGTCTTCAGGTAATGGCGGTTTTGTTAAACAGTGGCTTTATTTGGTTATCGTAAAGTATGCAATTTCAAAGCATCCGACGTGCATGGAATTTTTTTTCCTTATTTTTGTTAAATGGAGAAAGGCTTGGATATTTTTGAAATCATAAAATTTTATAACCTCAGTAAGCCTACTATGTTCATTGTAAGAAATTTTTTACGGATCACGACAAGTGCATTTGGCCTTTTTATCGTATTGAAGAAAAAAAAAGGTTGAAAAAGATTTTACTTCTCAGGCAGTATCTGACAATAATTTTTTCATGAATAAAAATAAATGTTTCTGTTAACTTTAATAAATAAAAAAGTTATCAAAAGTATCTAAAAAAGTAAAAAAATCACATGATACAAAACTATTAATCGGCAAATATAACAAAGTATTATCAAAAATGTTAACAATAATTTTTTTAAACTTATTACCTCTGAAAAACAGCAAAAAATTGATTCAGCGCGTCATCGGTCTTTCTCTTACCCATCTTATTCATTGAATTGGAAGTGAGATAGAAGTACTTCTCTCTAAAAGTGCACGCGCGTAGGAAGCATATTGTTATAACGTAAAAAAAACATAACAGAAAACAAAATTTTGAAAATTTATTTAAGTTATTTTGTTTATTATAGTTTGAATATTAGGTAAAAACTTTAAAATTATAGCATTTTAAATTTTAAGGTATATTATTTAATTCAAGAAAATTAGAATTTTCGTCAATTTCGGATTTTAAAACATTCATAACAATTAAAGGGTTAAAGATACGATGATGGGCGTAAGGACTTTTTTATTCGAAATATCCTAAAGAATATAAAAAAAATTAATTCATTGCAAAAATGCATTTTTTCTGGCTTAATTTTTCGTTGTTTAAACAATAACAACAGATATCGAGTGTAATCTTACACTTTTATAATTAGGAAAGCCTTTCGGACATTTAAAAAAAAAATACGAATTAAAACAATTTTGCAAACGAATGCGCCACTATGCCCCGCACTACTTGGTAAATTTAAACATTTTTTTCGTTAAGTTTACTTTGAAAATACTCAAAACTAATTTTGCTGTTCATGTATTTTATTATTATATATGTTCGTGTCCTGCTCATTTATGGTATTACTTCAAAAGGACCGTTGTATTGGGACAGGAAACAACAGTTTTATCTGCTAAAATTTTAAAATACCGATTTATTTTCTTTGCTTACTGAGGTCCCATGCACCTAGTGGAATTAAGTTTCCTTTCCTTGCATCTATGTTTAAGAGGAGTCTCACAGTTACTTTCCTTGAAGTGGATAAAGCAACTAAATGCTAAAATTAAAAAAATACATATATTTTTTTATTCTAGCAACTTTCCACTGTCTTTAAACCTATTATATTTGTACATTTTACTAACCATTGTTTAAATGAAGTTTGTTCTTTGTTCGATAAGATTTTACCAATATTTTGTGGCATTCGGAAATATCTTTCACTATTTTTGGATTTCGTATTATGGTTTTTGCAAGGCGCCACCGTACAGCCTGGCATTTTAAACATTAATTCAGTTCTTCCCTGTTATATATGGGAAAATATAGTCGCTATTAATACAAAAACAAATAAATTATTAAATTATTTTACAGTATACGCTAGTTCAGTGATGATGTAATTATGGTTCCACTGACAGTTAAAGTGACAGTAGCTTTTTTGAGTGCGTTTTGTTCGTTTTGTTTACCTAAATTATATAGTTTTTCACTTTTATAAATATATTCCTAAAGTAAGTAGATAACATGCATCAAATATACAATCGTTTAGTTACCAATTACATACCTTTAAACTATTTTTTATGACCTGTAAACAATATTTAGAAATAAACTAAAAACAGTAAAAACGTATATGTCAAATTTATTGATGTTTTTGTTAAAAGTTTGGTTAAAATTAAATGTCAGTGGAACTAAAATGACATCACACCGAACTAGCCACATACTTTGATTACTATACGGTGCAAGAGAGAGGTCCGACACGCCCAACATAGGGCGCGGCCATTTTGATTCCTATGCCACAGTTTATAGCTAAAGAATCAGATCGCTCACTCTGCGTCGGCACTTTTGATCTCAATGTGCCAGTTTATACACTGCGCAACTCGGATAATACAATACATGACAACCGCCTATAATAAAACAGCAGTCTTCTGCGTATCCTGAATTTGTATCCCTGGAGTGGATGTTATTGTAGAACTTTCAACTGGTCCGAGTGAGCTAACTGATTCTTTAGCAATAAACTGTGCTAACGGCACATTTTTTTAATTATTGCTAAATTTGAGGGCTTGTTGCCCCAGTGTGCGCCGCCCTTAACAGTCATCCGGCGACTCAGCTAAACTGTTATTTAAGAACGAAAAAGAACTGTAAACTATGACATGCGTGATTTTTCCATGTCCTACTTTATAACATTTTATATACTACTTCTAGCTCACATTTAAAAAACTCTATTTAGGCAACTCCTGTTTTTGACATTGATTGTTTCAAAGAAAGTGTTAGAAATCATATTAATGAAATAAATAACACACTAGATATTCTTCAAAATGTTACTGATTCTTTCAAAAGAAGAATCACCTTTTCTTTAGAACAAAATGGTGAACAGATAACAGATTACCCGACAGTATGGTAAGTTTTAGAAAAGTTAATAATATTATCTAAATATTCCAAATTAAACTCAAATAGAAGAAGTAGACTTATTTTAATCTTGTCTGTATACATGGAGGAAAATTTTGTGCCAAACACATTTAATATTCTTTTTTTTTTTTTTTTTTTTTAATAAAAATACCACGTCGATATATTTTTATTTTATTGTAAAAAAATATATAACAAGAAAATGCAAAAAACTATTTTGGAAACATTTCTAAAATCTAAATATAAAATATCATTAATGGAATGTCTAGCGTATGGAACAAAATCATAAAATACAAAATTAAATATTAAAATATATAAAAGTTATATTTAAACATTACATAAAAAACAATAAAATTAAGATTCATATAGAACATAAAAAAAAATATTTTACAGCTCACAATTCTTTGCTTTTGGCATTGCTACACAAAATAAAATTAAAAATTTAAAATGTTCTAGGAAAAATTCAGTACTGTCTTCTATTCGCCTACTTGTCCTTCTTCTTTTTTCCAAAAGTATTCATCATATTTATGTGCGCTGACACTTTGGGATCGAGAACCACTGGGTACCATTCTTTTCCGGAATAATCGATTTCCGGAAGTTCCCCACCATAATTTTTGGGCAGGTGAGTTGGGGGGATGTGTTTATGAAGAGATGCCATTTTCTTACCGTGAAAGAAAATCTAAGAAAAAAAAGAATAAATTACAAAGTCATGTAATGAATACAGTTTCTGAAAATCAATTTACATATTTTTGTGTTACAAAAGACCTAACTCAAAATGTTTCGAAACCGCTTCTGTCTAAGTAAATGAAACAAATATTGTAAGGGACCGACAAGAAGTGCATATGTCAGTTTATGTGCAATTGAGATATTCGTTTTTAAAGTTATCTTGAGAAAAGTTTTGAATAGTTAATAAATGACATAGACATTTATAATTTTGTAATTCGAGAGACGCTAAAATGGTGGTTCCCACCTTATCGAGACTGAGGCCCACAAGGGTAAACTCGAAGCGTAACAAAAACGAGAAATTATTTAACTTGGAACGAAAGACCGAAAGCTGATAGTAGTATTAGGATGTTGAATTTTTTGTTTTGTGAAGCATTGGCATTACTTAGGTTAAACCATGTGATGATTTTCACAAGCCTTGATTTTTAAAACCATTCTATATCGCCTTTTGATTAGGGTTTAAAAACTTGTTGGAGCAATTTATCCAATAATAATTGGCCCCTTTACCTCTTAGGCCTGCTCATGTAAAATATTTGAGCTCCTTACTTCGCCTATTTATATTCTATTAACAAAGGACAGAGGGATGAATATTGTAACTATGTTAAAAGAAATAAATTGGCTTTCAGTTCAGAATTATGTTCAGTACATGACTGATATTTATTTATAAAATAAAAATTACATAAATTCATCGCATCAGATCTATTAGAAAAAATTCAATATAATTCACAATATCACAACTATAATACAAGAAGCCAATCTGACTTTCATGTACGGCAAGCCATCACTAAAAGTTCCCAAAATACAATTTTTATTAAAGATTTAAAAAATTTAATAGACTGCCTACAGAAATTAAAAAAAAAACAACAATAAATGTATTCAAAAGTAACCTCAAACAATACTTGATAAATAAACAGAACGGATATACTTTCTTGTAAGCCTGCCCTTTTTAAGTATTTCCCTTAATTTATTGTTATTTTACCCCTCGTTTTACCTCGTTTTACTACTTACTCTGTTTAAATTATTAATAGTTTTGCGACGATAGGTTATAGCAACTTATAGCCACAAAACTATTTTTGTGTTAAAGTAGATCCATAGAGAGCAATGTAATTTACAAAGACCTTCTTTCAACATACAAATAAATGACAACTTTATAATTAAAATAAAAAACAACAAAATACCTCGGTATCATAATTGATCAAAATTTGAAGTGGGTTGATCACATTACGTCATTAAAATCCCAAGGTAAGAAGATTCATTTTTAAATTTTATGAATTGAGGAAATTTATGACTAGGAGTTTACTAATTATTATTTACAATTCGCTGGTTGAATATGTAATCCAAAACTGTACAATTAAAATTACCTAAAAAAACCAGCATTATATCCTTACTCTCTTTTATATAATAAAAAAGTGCTTTGTATAAGAACATTATGTTATTTGTTTTACTGTACCTTTATTTATGGAAAGCCTGAATTGAGATACACTACAAATTATTTGCAATAAATATCAAAAGAAGCATACATTTTTAAATAATTTGACATTTAAGAGCCATTCACACATCACAGTTGACATCTTGATACTTGTCAGGCACAGCCAAGCATTATTCTACTTTTTGCCATATAAAATAGCCAATTAATTATTCTATGAGGTTCCGACAGAGAGCCAGTAAATTTGATGAAGGTGTTTTTGCGACTAGGGGCGAAATAGTAGTACGCTTAAGTTAGAACCACCATAAAAAGTCATTTTTAAGAAACTGCTTATATATTTTTCATAAATTGGCAGGCTTGGCGACTAATTTCGAATAAAAATATCCTTCAAAATGGCTATAGTTGCAAGTATGAAGGTCGCAACCCGCCTTAGAAATTTCACCTTTACTATCAACAGCTGTTGTTTGACAGGTCATTAGAGAATGTTTGCAATTTATGGAATGTTGATAATGTTAGGAATGTTGACGTTAGAAATAATTGGAATTTCTAAAATTGTTACATAAGAATTGCATAGACGGATTTTAAGAAAATTGATATTAAAGTAGTTAGGATGAACCGAAAATTCTGAAAATCAATAGGGTTCTAAATTAGAAGTAATTATTCAAGAAAATCAAAACCGTAAGTCAATCAGAACTTTCGTTTTAGAGTTATTGTGCCAGCATACATACACAGAGACGACCAGACGAAATTTTTTTTTGCATTTTTGTACACAGAATGGTCGGAAACATGAAAAAAAGTTTTAAAAAATGGGGGTAAGAAATTTATTTCGTCTGCATGAATGCAATACTGAGGCCCCATAGGAAGGGCCTCAGTAAAATGGGATTTGGATAATACTAGGGGCTTCGACATTTTGCCCTCTTTTATTAGTACTTTGACATATTTATCTCAAAAACGCAAAATAGTGACATATGCACCTCTTGTACCAAGCCACAGATTTAATGTGGTACACTTCACAATCTCTCGAAGCAGCGTCGAAAGTATTCGGGCAGCTGCAGATGGAGATGAAAAATTCCAGGGAAAAAATATCACCTAGACATATTAATTAAGATGCCCCAAGCAACGGGCTTTATTCATTGCTTGCATTTGAAAATAATTTCTCACTAGTTGAAAAACAAAGGTGAAGTAAGCAAGGAAATTAGTACTACTTTATTAATACCCCAGAATAACGTCGACACATATTATATTGGTTTTAAAATAATACAAAAATAAAATAAATAAAATAAATGTTGCAACGCCCACCATTATACCTTGCAATGATTAAAAATCCTGAACAAAAAAAAAACAAACAAACCGGCCGGAATATGACTTTCGCATAGCCTCATTCAGCCCTGATTCAGCCCTTCATCTAGTTGCTGGCCGATTAGAAAGATCTCTCAAAGCAAGCAGTAAACATAAGTGTAGAAGATGTGAATATAACAAGCTTGGTTGCGAGGGGGTGTCCACAAGGAGGGGTGCTATCACCTCTACTGTGGAATATGCTCCTCGACATCCTCATCAGCCGCCACAATAATGACAGTCACTACACAATAGCATATGCAGATGACCTGCTCTAAAAATTATAGAACAGTGGTGCAAGGACCATTCACTGTCTATCAATCCTAAGAAGACAGAAATGGTCCTTTTCACAAGGAAAATGATGAAAATGGAATTAAAACCTCCAGAACTCCCAAACACAAAACTAAACTTTGCAACAGAGGTGAAGTACCTAGGTCTCACCTTTGACAGCAAGTTAACATGGAACTCGCATTTAGAAAACAGAGTTAAAAGAGTATACATTGCTTATGAACAATGCCGCCAAACCGTTAGGCGCACCTGGGGTTTCTCCCCCAGAGTCGTCGCATAGACTTACACGGCTATCATAAGACCTATGCTAACATACGGTGCAGTTGTCTGGTTACCGATAACACAAAAATTAACAGCTATCCGTAAATTAGAATAAATTCAAAGAACAGCATGTCTCAACATAACAGGAGCCATGAAAACAACACCGACCAGAGCCATGGAAGTCATTCTTAGTTTCAATCCCCTTGATATTTACATCAAGGAGGTTACTTTGACGGCAATGATACGCCTCCGCACGGTTGGAATAGAACCTGATATAGGATCTGGTGAGGCGAGATGTCACTTTTGGAGCTCGATACGCTCCCACTGCTTCAAGCGAACATAGACTCCATCTCATCGAGATATATCTTCCATAAGCCATATAAAGTTAAAATAGAACAAATAGAAGAGCCAGAAGTGGCAGGTACGATTCATATCTACACCGACGGTAAAACAAAACAAGGCTCAGGTTGTGCAATATACTCCAGATTTTTAAACCTGTGAGCAATAGTGCCAGTGTAGTTCAAACAGAGCTAACGGGGATTCTCATAGCAGCAAAAGAAATAACCAGAAACAATATCACTGGAACGGAACATGCTCATCTATACAGATAGCAGACAAGCACTACTCACCCTGATTCACTAGCCAAGAAAGCAGCCAACCAAATATTGGCCTGACAAATTCGGTAGTGACAGACCTAATTAAAGAACATTCCCTTGTGAAATTCAAGGAAAGATGGGATGAAACAAGAAACTGCAGAGTTGCCAGGGAGCTCTTAAGTTATCCTGACAACACTACAGCAAACAAATACTTGACTATGACTAGACATAATCTACGCCTAGTCACAGGCATTCTGACTGGGCATTGCCAAGTACGGAAGTATCTCCATATCATGGGGATGTCAGAATCCGCACTCCGCAGAGGGTGCGAACAAGAAAATGAAACCATCGAGCATATCCTTTACGATTGCCCGACGCACTCATTTATTAGAAGATTTGTTTTCGGCGAGTATCGGCTAACACCGGCCGATATAAGAGAAGCACCTCTTGGCGACATTGTCAACTACATTAAATCTGTAGACTAGCTCACGAGTTAGAAGGTGCCTATCATCTTAGGAGGATGCACAATGGGCCTAATGAAGCCTAAGTGCCGTGGGGGTAACCCACCCTACACACTATACATATACAGATACAGAATATCTTTATCAACGATATTGTAGAATGTATTCAGTCATCTGGAATCCACGTAGTACAATTCATTTCGTCAAAATATAATCAATTCGGCTTTAGATTATCAAAATGTATCTCTCCAAAGAAAGATGATTGCTATCTGGATAATTTTTATCAAGAAAGAAATACCAGAGCACTTACAACACCGTTGTTGTGCATTAAAAGTTGAATTAATGATAAGTACGAGGTAATAAACAAAGTTTATTAAAATTAACAATACATTTTATTTAATTTTTATTTGTTTTTGATTGAAATTGCTTTTTCATTAATTATTATTTATCTTGTTAATATAGTTAAACAGGGACGATTTCAGGAACATTTTACATCAAATTTTACTTACTCTGGCCTTTAATTTTGGTTTCAACAAAGGCTTGAACAGGGACCAGACCATGTTGAATATAAAGGGTTCCTTAACCATATGAACTTCTTTGAGCCTTAATGGCATCGCTTCTTGAATAAAAGACAACAATAACATAGCAAAAGATGGCCCCAAACCTGCAAAATATTAATAATTTTTCACTTGGTCTAATATAATTAATTTTAAATTAATAATTGGTTTTAAATAAAAAAAAAACGTTTATTTACCTCTTACTTGTTTCAAGCCCATATTATTGTAATCCATGATAACTACTACGCCATTGATTTGTGTACTTGGTTCGAGAACGGCTAACATGTGGATGATGTAGAAAAGCCGGAACATTTGGTCTGAGGTCACTTTCGAAGGATCCCATGTTTCTAAAACGTAATAAAATACAAATTGAAATATACAGAAGTACAAACATTTAACAGTGTTATAAGCGATCAGACTATTACCTTGGTGGGACGAATGAAACCGAAGTATCCGTACTATATTTTATAATTTTTTGTGTATTTTTAAATACGCTAAATTAGTGATTATGTAATTTTCGTTTCACTGACAATTACAGTTCATCAAATTTCTAGAGGTGTTCGACGCCCAGACAGAGAACGCGCTACGTGTGACTAAGATAGCTATTGTACAGCCTGCTAAACAAGTTATTTTAAATAGTTTTTAATATTTTTAGGTAATTAAATTTTAAAAGTGTGGAATAGTTTAGGGATTAAATTGGTCTGATTGGACTTTCTTAGAACGTTTTTAAAACCAGCTAAAGATAGTATGTAGAATTGAAAATAATTATTATGCCATAAAAGGTGTTTTGGAATTCCTTCAACCTTTTGAAATTGAGTCAGAAAATATAAATTTTATAGGATAGCGGAAAATACCTATAATTTTTTTGTAGGCCTTTGTAAATCGTGGAAATAGTTTATATTTTATTTCTACCTTATTAAGGAAAATGGTACCTATTATTAATAACGGTTGTTTCTGAAACATAACTAAAATTATCGAAATTTTGTTTTTCTACAAAATAATAAACTATACTATTTAGAAAAAAATTTATTTCTCTTATAATTTTATAAAAAATAACAGGGGAATATTTACATTTCTTGATCTATTAAACAGAACGATACATTATCTCGACGAATGACACCATGTTCTAGTACGGAAGCTAGCTTTACATTTTTGTTGGTGGTTTCATGGGTTTCATATCAATTTTTTGTAATTGTAGTTTACACGTACATATACCTCTTAACACTTGTTTGCTTTATTAAAAAAGTGTGTTGTTGTGATTTACGTCGAAATAAGTCAAAAACAACTTGAAACCCCATATAAAATCAAAAAGGAGAAACGGAAAAAAATTGAGCCTGTAAATGAACACAACTCAGAAACAAAAATAGCTATCTAATAATAAAAAAATAAAATTTGATTCTTGTGCAGCTTCATCTATATCATTAACTGTTTTTGGTTTTTTAATGGTTTTTCTTGGTGATGAAAATTCCGATATCTCACGGTTATCGATTCTTTTTTTTTCTCCAGAAATGCGGACGACAGTGTTTTTAGATAATCCTGTGGCTGCAGCAACACGATCATTTACATTTTTAAATGGTATTGAAGGTGAATTAAAGTTTCCTTCTCTTCTCATAAACTCTATAACATTGGCTATTATTTCGCGAGATTGACTGTTAATCACGCGGCCTCTTAAACTCCATACTTAGGTTCTATTAAACTGTAATGAGCAAAAAACACAAACGAAAATAAAAGAAATGTTTTAGCGAAATTTACATCTGACATTTACGTCTGAATGAAATAGTGAAATACTTGATGCGCAGAGTGTACTTTCATTGCGTAAATCCGTCGGGATGCCTGTCAGTAGTGCTTTCTCTGTCTAGCCGTCGAAAGCCTCTAGAAATTTGATGAACTGTACAGTGCTAGATGCAGTGACAGTAGACTTATTAATTGTTATTAATTTTTTTTTGGGTACGTTTTGTTGAAATTTAACTGTCAGTGGGACCAAATTTACGTCAGACTAATTTGGTGTATAAATTATGACATTAGATAATTAAACATTAATTTTATTCTCGATTTTAATGCTTTATTGTAAATCTTTAATGCAATTTTTCGATAAAAATAAATTATTAAATATTCATACCTCCTGAGTTAACTATAAGTACTCTTCTGCCTTTGTGGTCCAAATTTGTCATAACGTTTACAACATCATGTTCAGTGAAGGCGATTCGCTCGCTGTCGGGAACCAGATTACCAACGAGGCTTGCGTGTTTCACTTTAAAATCTGCTATTCTTTTCATCTAAAAAAAAAAACAAGGATTAGTCTAAAAAACACTAGCAGATACTCTGTAACTTCAACAAACAACAAGCTATGTTATGTATGAGGTATTAATACATTGTGACCTAAAAGATCTGTTGTGTCCACTTCTGCCCCTATCCAATGAGTATATACACTTGCGTAATAAAACGTATAAAACGTATAAAACGTATAAAACGTATAAAACGTATAAAACGTATAAAACGTATAAAACGTGTAAAACGTATAAAACGTATAAAACGTATAAAACGTATAAAACGTATAAAACGTATAAAACGTATAAAACGTATAAAACGTATAAAACGTATAAAACGTATAAAACGTATAAAACGTATAAAACGTATAAAACGTATAAAACGTATAAAACGTATAAAACGTATAAAACGTATAAAACGTATAAAACGTATAAAACGTATAAAACGTATAAAACGTATAAAACGTATAAAACGTATAAAACGTATAAAACGTATAAAACGTATAAAACGTATAAAACGTATAAAACGTATAAAACGTATAAAACGTATAAAACGTATAAAACGTATAAAACGTATAAAACGTATAAAACGTATAAAACGTGTAAAACGTATAAAACGTATAAAACGTATAAAACGTATAAAACGTATAAAACGTATAAAACGTATAAAACGTATAAAACGTATAAAACGTATAAAACGTATAAAACGTATAAAACGTATAAAACGTATAAAACGTATAAAACGTATAAAACGTATAAAACGTATAAAACGTATAAAACGTATAAAACGTATAAAACGTATAAAACGTATAAAACGTATAAAACGTATAAAACGTATAAAACGTATAAAACGTATAAAACGTATAAAACGTATAAAACGTATAAAACGTATAAAACGTATAAAACGTATAAAACGTATAAAACGTATAAAACGTATAAAACGTATAAAACGTATAAAACGTATAAAACGTATAAAACGTATAAAACGTATAAAACGTATAAAACGTATAAAACGTATAAAACGTATAAAACGTATAAAACGTATAAAACGTATAAAACGTATAAAACGTATAAAACGTATAAAACGTATAAAACGTATAAAACGTATAAAACGTATAAAACGTATAAAACGTATAAAACGTATAAAACGTATAAAACGTATAAAACGTATAAAACGTATAAAACGTATAAAACGTATAAAACGTATAAAACGTATAAAACGTATAAAACGTATAAAACGTATAAAACGTATAAAACGTATAAAACGTATAAAACGTATAAAACGTATAAAACGTATAAAACGTATAAAACGTATAAAACGTATAAAACGTATAAAACGTATAAAACGTATAAAACGTATAAAACGTATAAAACGTATAAAACGTATAAAACGTATAAAACGTATAAAACTTATAAAACGTATAAAACGTATAAAACGTATAAAACTAGTTCAAATGTCGCGGAAAATAACGTTATTTGCAACCAAACCTTATAAAAAAACGTGTTATTTTATCAAATTATGTTAAATTTTGAACTAATAACGTATATGCCATACTACGTTAAATTTACGTTGAATAAACGAGTGTGTGCTTATTGGGCAATGCATCAAGAGAACAGTCTCGATGCCTATAACGACCCTTCCAAGCCCTTCTCAAGGATAAAATATAGGATTTGGAGTGGCTCCAAGTTGGCTAGATCGCCCTCTTCTCTTTGGTATGCTCCTAAGTATAGTGCCCTTGGATACTGGGGTGCTACATAAACTTTATTTTGGTTCACTTTCGTAACCGTTCCATAACCTTGCGCAGTAGATATTGACTGTTTTGGTTTCACCATTACTAGTTCCGAACCTGTGCTTTGGTTTTTCTTGTGAATGATTCCATAACTATTCTTGAACAAAAACTTCTGGTTTGTTTTGGTTCTCGTTCGAGAACTATTCCAGAATCTTGCGCAGAACTATTGCGCAAAACTATTGCGCAATAGTCTGTTCTTAATTCTGAACAGTTTTGTAATAATTTCATGTGTATTTGGAACCAAAACACTGCTAGAACAGTTAAATGTCAAAAACCAACATAAATAAAAAATAATAAATATCAAAGGGTTAATGTCTAATTAACAAAACATGGACAGGATCCCATCAATAAAATTAACTGAAAAAGCGCAAGCGCAAACATATCAATTCTGAAACAGTTCTTGTTTTGAGCCTGGACAGGGATTCTTATGTGCGTACTCAACACGTAACGAATCGCATTCTGTGGAATTAAGATAGTCGTCTCAACAAGTGCTGAATTGAATGATAAGAATCACAATGCAGAACAGAAGTTACTGTTCGAAACTGGTTATGGAACCATGAACCATTCCTGAGAAAAACCGAAACTTAGAATGTACAGATTGAAACCAAAACAGTGAATATATACAGCGCATGCGTCAATGGTTCTGAATCATTTACGAACGTGAACCAAAACAAGGCTTTCGGTTCTAAGCCAAAGCGAGAACTGTTCGCGCTTGCGCTTTTTTGTAGGTAGGTTTGTTTTTGGCATCTCTGGCCATGTTTTGCGTTTGCATTTTTACAAGGAATTTTCGAATAACGAATGATAATGAGGCAGTTGATTAGTTTGTTGTGTTATAAGTTTTTATGAAAAAATTATTGAGTTCATCTACGTTTTACTATATTGCGTGGCCTCTTTCTTACTTAGACATTATTTTCTTGTCATTTATTTATTTTTATTTATATAGAGAGTTGAAGTGTTTCTAGTACGTTAACGTAAACGTGAACGTCAACGCAGAAAAATAAAGTTTACGTTGAAGTCCAAAATATGAGTTGAACTTGTTAAACGCATCGTGACATTTACGTGCCATGATAGATAATGACAATTAATATTAGGATTTCGTCTTTTCCAATTAAAAAGAGGTTATTTTGTTTGCGTTACGTACATACACCAGAGCCCGTTAGCTTACGTATTAATGTAGATGTGAACGTAAAAGAAATTTGAATACGCATGCGCAGATGTCAGGTTTCACGTACAAGTTTACGTTTATAGCATCACTTCAACTCTCTAATTACTTTTTGACATTTAACCGTAACTGTTTTGGTTTTGAGTACTTACAAATAAAATTGTTACAGAACTGTTTAGAATTAATAACTATTGCGCAATAGTTCTGCGCATGGTTCTGGAATAATGCTCAAACAAGAACAAACCTATTCAGTAAAAATATCATCTTAGCCTTTGGTAGCCTTTGGTAGCCGTTCTCTGCTTCGTGTCGTTCGGTCAACTGCAATAGCGTTCGGAAAAGTAGCATTTTCTGTACTTGTTAGGTAAACTACTATTTCCGTGTGAAAATAGCTATTTGTGAATTAAGAGCAAAAAATTTTACTTTTCCGCTTGAGACAGAAAGTTGCAATCTGTCGAAAGTGGCAACGAACTTTTCGGTCAAAATGCACACACAAGATTTTTCTACAATCACATTATTTTAAGAAATAGATATAAAAACTGTAAATTGGTCGTAAGTGGTGTATAATGTGTTGCATATATCTACGTTATTCATGAAAAAAAGAGTTGATACATAAAGTCAATGTTAACTTAGATAATAAAACAAAAAATTACAAGTTTAATAACAAAGACAATTATTAAATTCATCACTTAAATGCAGTATATGTTTTGGAGGATGGACATTAGTAAAATTACTAGAATTTTGTTTGTTGAAAATTGCCATTTTTGTCTGATATGTCTTTGTCGGTCATGTCCTACTTTAAAAATTGTTTTTATGAATATATCTTTGTTTGCATAATCCACGAGACCAAATTAATGGCATCAGTTGCTAAAAGTTAAATTAATAACTTTACCAGTAACCCCAAAATTATGACATTGACGTATTTGACAGAACTGTCACTTAGGATGTCATAAAAATCACTAAAATGGCCAGTTCAATTCAATATCTTATTTTAACAGATCTCGTGGGACATGGGTATTGTTGAAGACTCATTAGATATTACATTTATATATGAGTAGTACAAAAGACTTCTTACAGTAGTGTGTTAGCTATTTTCTCAGTAATTTTCGTCTATTTTAATTTAAAACTCCGATATCACCGGTATATCTATATAGGATATAATATAGATATAATTTAGTGCACTTTGAAATTGGACTCTGTTAACTTGTCATAAATATAGATAAAAAATCTACGGCTGATGCTGCATGCTGTAAACGTGTTGATAAAAATTTGAGATAGTAACATTAAAATTGGGTGTACCTATATGATAAAAAATATTGTTATATTTTTTATTGTTATCTATTGAATCGTTTTTTATTTCGCCGTACAAAGTACAAAAACAGTATTTTGGTTGTCAATGACTCACGGATATTTTATTATATATTTTGATTTATTAATGGAAAGATAAATATTTGAATAAAATGCACAAATACAAAGGTATAACAAAGGTTAAAGAACGAACTACTCATATTATGTTGCAAGTACGTTACAAAAAAGAAATTTCTTTTCAGAAACAAATAATTTTAAAATTCAAAGTAGGTAACTATGCCTTGTATTGTACGTATTGAGAAAGGTGATCCAAGTGAGTCCGGGGCAAAAAGAGGTTCATTCCATTTTTCTGAGATAAAGGTATAGTTTTATGGCATCATTACGTATATAAATGTTATCTTTACCATCATATACATTCATTTGAGTAAAAATAAGTTCATTTGCAAGAATATTAATAGTATTGTAAAACATATTTTTTCTTTGGACTATTTACATGCTTTATTTCAATTTTCAGCCAAAATTTACGGGGTAGGTTTGGCAATTGTTGACAAAGTGCCAATCTTAAATATCCTGAGAATTCGTTGATCAAAAATACCAATTTTTATATTAAATTATAGATACGATCATAAAGAAAAGTATAAAAATTCCTTTTTTGAGAATTTCTGTATACTTACTAATATTGCCCCCGTATACTTTTGTTAATATTAGGTACTTTTATTTAACCTTACTTAATCTTTTCTGAGAAAAAATTGAGTAAAATTACAATTACTTAATAAAGGATATATTTCAGATAAACATCCAATATTAAAAACAATTTTGTAACAATTTTAAAATTATATCTACATACATAATAATGGAAAAAATAACCAAGTTTAGTTTACATAATTCAGCAATTTGTTGATTCGTTATCTCTCATTTTATTAATTTATTTTTTTTCGTCTTAAATTGATTGAAAACACGCTATTCCTAAATTTAATTTTGTAAATATATCGGAAATGGTAACAGAAAGAGAACAAATACGTTTTTGGAATAAACCAAATAACTGATGTGTCCAACACAGGACTTTTCACCAAAAGTTATCCTATATATTAATTAAGGCCCATATCATCAAAAAATATTCAAAATATGAATCCAGGATACAAAAATTTCATAAATGTTTTCAAAACATTATTCTTCATTTGAGTTGATTTAAATACGAGTATGTCTATTATTCATTGATATACAGAACAAATTATAAAGGGCCCAATATTGATCCTTGTGAAACTGTACTTTTATTCTTCAGCTGAGTTGATTTAAATATGAGTATGCTTATTATTTAAGATTTAAATCTATCACTCAAATAACAGGATAACCACTCGCACTCCATATTTATTCTTAACTTTTAAAATGTCATGTTGAACACAGTTAAAGGCTCGATTAAGAACACACAAGATTCAAATAGAGCTTTCACCCTTTCAAATTTAATTTACTTACCAATTCATACGCGCTTTTGGCATACCATTTGCATGGCCTCAAAAAAATCGTCAAGACTTCGTCATCGTCTTTGAAATAAATTTCGTCGTCGTTTTTTAAAAGCTCCTTTAGCTCTGCCAAAGCTGTTTTGATGTTTTCTGGAGTTTCTCTAAGTTCCTTTTCGGCTAAAGCCAACGTTTCAGCGCTGGGCGGGGAATAGTCCAGAGCAAAGGGGGACGCCATCTTAAAAAAACAATAATTAGTAGTATAGAATAAATATTCAAAGAATCATTTGGCTTTTATTTTTAACAAAATTTATTTATTTACCAAGGGAAAAAATTACTTGAAATTTTAATTCTAATTTAATATACGAGGATGGATTGAAAAGTTCGTGGCCTGACTAGGAAGGAAGCTACATTAGTGTGCATAGCTATGTCCTTTGGTAGTCACTGTGTAAAATTTCATTTCTCCATTGTTTAAGGTGATGAGTTCATGAGGAGTTAAGTTTTCGGGAGTCACGAACATTTTTGACATGGAGAAAATAGAGCATCGTGCTGTCATTAAGTACTTGCATAAAAAGAGCTTAACACTACAACAAATTTTGATAGAGTCGCTTGGAGACTCCGCTCCCTCGTATTCCATTGTGAAAAAGTGGGTAGCTGAATTTAAGCGTGGCTGAAACAGCATTGAAGATGACCCCCGCACTGGCAAGCCTTCAACATCGACCACAACAGAAAATGTCAATAAAATTTGTGATCTGATTTTGAGTGACCGCAGAATCAAAATCCGTGAGATAGCTAAGACTATGGTTATTTCCTATGAGCGAGCACAAAACGTTATCATGAACGAATTAGGGTTTTCTAAGGTGTCCGCAAGATGGGTACCCAAGTTGAACATAAACGCACTCGACTCACTCTTTCTCGTGATTGTTTGGAACTGTTTGAAAGTGATTCGGGGGAGTTTTTTGACAGATTTGTGACTATGGACGAGACATAGGTACACCATCATACACCGGAATAAAAACAACAATCAAAGCAATGGAAAAGACCTGGATCTCCTACCCCAAAAAAAGCCAAAAAAGTTTTATCGGCAAACAAGGTTATGGCATCAATTTTCTGGCATGCTAAGGGTATAATCTTAATTGATTTCTTGGAAATGGGAAAGGCTATCAATTCTGAATACTACTGCACCTTACTGCGATGTTTACGTGAATAAATTGAAATTAAAAGGCCCGGATTGCTGCGAAGAAAGGTGTTGTTTCATCAGGACAATGCCCGTGTTCACACAACTTTTGCATCCATAGCTGAAATGCATTCGTGTTGGTTCGAACTGTTGCTGCACCCGCCCTATTCGCCTGATTTGGCTCCCTCGGACTTTCACCTGTTTAGAAACCTGAAAACTTTTTTGGGTGGTCACAGATTTTCTTCAGATGAAGACGTGAAAAGTACTGTACTGGGGTATTTTGCAGAACTCGAAGAATCATTTTTTAAAAGTGGTATAGAAGCGTTACCGGACAGGTGACGTAACAGTATCTGGCTCGAGGGGGAACGTAGAAAAATAAAACATAAGTTATCCAAATATGTTTTTATTTTGTAGGTTAGGCCACGAACTTTTCAATCCATCTTCGTACTATTTTCCGTTCAGAATAGAACCCATACAACCCATAAAGCACTTTAATAAGGTTTTCAATAAATTACATTACTACATTATTAAAGTACCTACAAAAAACAAACCACATCATTTTTTAAAAATGAAGTGATGATAATACTTGATAAATATCAGCGGCCAAATATATTCGACCTTTTGAATCAGTTGGGAAAATATCATTACTTTTCCACCCTAGATTTTGTTTCAGGTTTTCATCAAGTTGAAACAGAACCTAAGGTTATTCAATAAACCACTTTCGCTGTTGAAAACGGACATTTTGATTTTACTAGGGTGTATTTCGGGTTAAAGAATGCTCCTTCAACCTTTAAAAGGATTATGGACATTATTTTAGTTGGCATCCAAAATAAGAAAAGTCTTGACTCCAGAGACATCATTCAGTCAAGTGGATAAATAAAAGTATTAGCTTACAAGCAGTGGCGGTTAGTTTACAAAATATTGGGGTTCACAATGACAAAATATAGAACTATAGATCCTACAGATGTAGGTAAAACACTCATAACTTATAAAGAAAAGATAAGCTAAATCTTTTAAGTACAAGACATTAATTATTTTAATTTGACTAGATCTCTATTAAAAGTAAATACCGGAAAATTTTAAGTAATTACTTGTATTTATTTATATTTACTTTTGTTATTATATGGTGTATCAGAGGACACAGAACAACTGAAGATTCTCTGATTGAAAATAAGACGATTATTTGAAACATGTTCAGATAAAATATTACTCGTTTTCGAAATAAAGTTGAAAATTAAAAAATTATTAATGGCGATAATTTTTTTAATTCTGAATATAATTTTACTAAGTTTGGCAAATATTTTTGGTGGCATTAGATACACCTAACAGAAAAAAACCAATTAAACAAACTTTGGCAGTGGTGTTCAGCATGGATAAGTAACACGTTTATTACCTCTAAATTTTTCACTACTTGTCCAAAAACTTATTTTGACTAAAATTTTATATTTTCTATATTTTTTAAAAAAATCATGTACATTTTTTGGGAACTCATAAATGATTTGTTTTCGAGATATTCGCACTCAAAGGTGGATATTCTTGATTATAATTTACATGAGTACATGATTTGTTTAAAAAACGACAAAAATATCTAAAATTATACATCAAATAAGTTTTTGGACAGTGGCGTAAAATATAGAAGAGATGAGGTGTTACTTACCCATGCCGTATTCCACTAGCTAAGTTTATTTAATTAATTTTATTCTATAGGTGTATCTTATGACAACAAATTCCTAGGGCATGTTCTATTGGAACAGAATGAAAAACCAGATTCTCCACGAAACTCCAGAGAAACTAATATACAAACACAATTACTGCATTTACCTACAAGCAAGGAAGATCTGCAACGAATTCTTCTACTTGAGCAATTAAAATCTCGCTAGACTTGAAGCAAAATGGAAACACAAACCGACAAATTCTGGGAGACAAGGAGATTATAGCGGCATTCTCTCAGAATTAACAAAATTTAGGTATTTGTTTTAAACTTTATATATGTAATTAACGTTATATTTTAATTTAATAAAATATAAAGAACAAATATTATTTTGAAATTATTATAATAAATAATTATTTAAAAAAACTAAGTACTATAACCTACCCCATCCAGGTACCTTCCAAATTTTTATGTTCTATTTATTAAAGAAAAGTTGCATTCTTATTAAATTCAAAATCCTTTATTTAACGAAAAATATTTTAAATAATTAAATCTTAGCTATGATTCCTAATAAACAGAAGCAATATTTCTGTTTGCGGGGCTCTAAAATAACATGTACAAACCCAATAACCAGACAAGATAAAAGTTATCCAATGAGCATTCGACCAAAAAAATTTCATAAAACATATTTATTTTCACGAAGTAATAATCATTAAAACAGTTAACGCGCTTATCTTAAGTCAGTTTCGAATATTAACACAAATTTCGACAATTTCGACACAAAATGCGGAAATTTTTTTAATTTCTTAAGGCACGTAATAAATCGACCACCCCTTTTTGTTTCACCAAAATTCATTCCCACTGGAGTTACGACAAATTGACGTCACAAAAAGTCATTAAAAGGGTATAAATACCCGTTCACGAGGAACTCCATATCCATTATTATTTTAAATCCAGTCTCCAGTCTAATACAGTTGCTTTTCAAATTTAGTTATATTTCCAGTTCAGTATTTAGTACCTTTCCTAAACCGACGCTCTTCCTAACCAACGCCTTTCTTATCCTACCTCCTATAGACGCTTCTACGGCGCGATGTTCTCCGTTCCGACGTCCTCTCTCCTATCTGACGCTCTACGCCCCGACGCTTTATATCCATCCGACCCTCTACGTCTCGACGCTCTCTCTCCTATCTGACGTTCTATATTCCGACGCCCACTCTCCTATACGAAGCTCTGCGTCACGACGCCCCCTCTACGTCCCGTCGCTCTACATTCCGACGCTCTACGTCCCGATGCCCCTATTCAATATTTCCAAATCAGCAACACTTCCACGTAACAACAATATTAATAATAAAAACGTCAATAACTAAAAAGAGGTTTATTATTATATTATTCATTATTAAAGAAATGTATTATTCATTAACGTCACATTTGGGCCGCTAGATGGACACGTCTCAGTACGTATTTTCCATTTTATTATACCATCCCAAAATTATTTAAGAATCTGGTCTACCGAAATGCCGATACACCCTCACTAATAGCTAATAAATTAACAGCTTAGCTGACTGATGTAAATGACACTTCGGGCGGCTAAACTCTCATTTTACATAAATATGATTGACGTTACTATTATTAAATAAAATATTGCATTCTTATTAAATTCAAAATCCTTCATTAAACAAAAATCTCCCAGATAATTAAATCTTATTTACGACACCTCATAAATAATATCTATAACCACGTCTGTAAGAGATCTAAATTTCGTGCACGTGTCTGGAAACCCAGCCCAAGAAACACTCAACGCACTTATTTTAAGTGCGTTTGAATAGTCGCGTTATTTCGATACACTCATTTTTCAAGGCAAGTAATAAATCGACCACCCCTTTTCTATCTACCTCGTTCACACGGAACTAAAAGGAACTGACGTCACAAAAAGCTATTAAAACGGGTATAAGAAGCCAAACCCAAATGAGGTCATTCATTCATTTTTATTATTTGATGTGCAAGCTTTCATTTTAATATTTTACATTCAAGCAATCACTTTATTATCTGTATCCAGTTATATAGTCTATACCTTTCCTAAAACGCTCTGTCTAAACGACGTCTATCCTACAATACCTCCACCGTCCTTCTTCTCTACCTTTCTACGTCCCAACGCTATCACTTTTAACACCACTTTAGTATTTCCTACCATTATATTCATCCCGACGCTCAACGTCTCGACGTTCAACGTCCAGATGCCCTGCTTCCCTACCTTTCTACGTCTCGAATGCTGTCACGTTCCGCACCACCTAAGTATTTCCTACCTTACATTCATCCCGACGCTCTAACGTCCCATCGCTCTACTTCTCGACGCTTGCCGTCCCTAAGTATTTCTTTCGTAATATCCTTGTCGACCAAACAATTATTAAAG